AGACTTCGTTTTTTATATTTACATATTTAATTGAATTTATTTTTGTTTTTTTCTTTCAGATAAGTTATTTGTCAACGTTATGTAAATGGATACAACTGGACTCCCTACACCCCTCACACCCACCCCCACCCCCTACGATTTTCCTTTCTGCCCGGAATGCTTGCCTGCTGATAAAGGGTGCTCAACAAAAAAAAATTAAACAAAAGCTTGAGAGAAATGGAATAGATTTTGTTTTTTTTTTTTTGTTTTTTTTTTTTTTTTTTTTTTTCGTACACACAATTATTTTTTGATTGTCGTCAAAATGACACACCAACACGACCACTTCTTCTTCACTATGGAAGACACAACAAACAATTGTATACAAACAAACAAAGGAAACAAACGAAGAAAGAAAGAAAGAAGAAAAAGGAATAAAAAAAATAATGATAACTAAATGCAATTGAACCCAAGTGCTTTCGTCGGAAAGAGCTTAGCTACAAGAGTATACGATCAGGTTTTTTTTTCATTTTTTTTCTCACTCTCACTCTCACTCTCATCAACAGGGAGAGAGAAAGAGAGAGAGAAAGAGAAAAATCCCACCAAAAAAAAAAAAAATTAAAAAAAAAAAAAAAAAAATTCAACCGTTCCTGGGGTAGTAAAAAAAAAAAAAAAAAAAAATTACTCAGGAATTTTGATGAAGAAAAAAACAAAAATTATTATTATATATAAATAAAATAATAATAATAATAATAATAATAATAATAATGTAAATGCTAAGTAATAAGAGTAACGTGTAGTAAATAACGATTGTTTATATATATATATATATATATATTTAAAATAATATTTAAAACGGTTATGATTGAAACAAATTTTTTCTCTCTTTTTTTGCTGTAATTTATAAGGGATTTTAAAAATTTTGAAAAAACAAAAGGAAAAAGGAAAATAGACAGGAGAAGAAAAAAGGAAAAGCTTTGATTGCCGCTATTTTTTTTTACTTTAACCCCTTTTTGTTATTGTGGGTATTCAAAAACAAAACAAAACAAACACAACAAACAAAAAACAAACAAGAAGGATATTAATTTAATTTTTTTAAATGGATAATACAAATCAATTTATTTTCTTAAAATGTACACACACACACGCACTCGCACACACACACACACACACTCATACACATATAGGTACACATAGGAAAAAGATTTTATAATGAATAGTTTCTCTCTCTCTCTTTCTTTTCTGTTGTTTTATTTTGTTGCTTTTTTCTTTTTTTTTTTTGAAAATCCAATAAAGGGGGATCGATAATAAAATGAAAGAAAGAAAAATAAATAAATAAATTTTTTTATTAAAATAATTTGTTGTTGTTGTTGCAATGCTCAAAACACACACACACACACCACACCATGAAGAAATTAAATTATTATTATTATTATCATTCAATTTATACAAAAACAATTTGAAATTAAAATTTGATTAGTTGTGACGTCACAATAAATTTTTTTTCTTGCAGTTTTAAATTTTTAACGGTTTTTTTTTTAGTTTTTTCTAAAAAATATTAAAAAGCATTGCGACAAATAGATTCGGTAACGTCATCATTATTATTATTATCATTATTATTATTATTATTATTATTATTATTAAATGTAATTAGGAAATTCAAAATTAGTGAAAATAATGAAAAAAAAGGGACGAAATAAGGTATTAAAAAAAAAAAAAGATGAGATTTATATATATAATAACGTTTATATATATGATGAAAACAATTGTATACGTGAACATTTTTTTTTTTTTTATATATATTAAATAATTTTTTTTAGAAATAAGATTTTATTGTGAAATAATAAATAAAAATAAATAAGTTTAATTAAATTGTTAAATAAAATTAATTTTAATTAATAATAATAATAAGAAGAAAAAAAATTTTAAATAAAGTAACGAAATATTGGATTAATAAGAAAGAAAAAATTGGGGGGGGAAAAAAACGATAAAAATTTATTTTGTTATTCAATTATAATTTTTTTTTATTAATTAATTAATTAACATTCATATAGATGAATGAATGAATGAATGATTGATTGAATGAATTAATTAATAAAAAAAAAAAACAGCACAGGAGTCAGGTACAAATTATTTCAAACGATTTAGTGCCAGTTTGTTTGTATTTTCTCTCTCTCTCTCTCTCTCTCTCTCTTCTAATGTTTTTTTAGAACAAAAGATTTTGATTAATTAATTAATTATTTTATTTTTTAAAAAATTAATAAGTTGTGATTATTAATAAATAAATTTATTAACCAAACTTTAAAATTTTAATAAGGAAAAGGAAATTTTTTTTTTGTTTATTTTCTCGGTTTTTATTTTGTATCGATCAAATTGGGGGGAGAGGGAGGAGGAGGAGGAGGAAAATTTAGTGATTATTTAAAATTAATAATAATAATAACAATAAAATTAAAATTAATTGAAACTTATGTATACCATTATAAATTGAAAAATTATTTTATTTATTTTTATTTTTATTTGGCGATGAGTTAATTTAAAAGATTAATTAAATGTTTAAAATAAATTAGTATTGTTATGTAGAAAGAAAAAAAAACACATAAAAAAAGCTTTTCGTGTTTATTTTATCATTATCATTATCATTATTATTATAAATAATTTTTTTTGTTTTTAAACATTTAGCAATCTTTAAACTCTTATTTGTGTAAGAGTTAAGCCTTCATCACTGATATACGATATACGTAATAATCGACAATCAATCACAATTGTAAAAAAATAAAAAAAATTATTATAAATTAATAATAATAATAATAATAATAATAAACGAAAAAAAAAAAATTTTGTAAATTAATTTTAATAATTATTTCATATTATTATTATTATTATTATTATTACGTGTGTGCATAATTTTTTATGTATTTAAAAAAAAAAAAAAGGCATTTAAATAATTTTTTTCCCCTTTTTTTTTTCTTTCTTTTCCAATACACAAACGGAAAAATTCATAATAATAATAATAATAAATGTTTATTTATTTAAATTTTTTTTGGGTTTAATAACTTATTAATTAATTGATTGATTCATTGTTTTGATTTTTTTTATCACGTTGAAATAAATAAATTATTTAAATGCCTTAAAAAAAAATAAATTTTTTTTTGTTAAATGCGTATACTATATACAAAAATTTAAAATAACAAAGCTTAGGTGAATTATTATTATTATTATTATTATTATTATTAATTATTTTATTTGATTCGAAATTTCATAATAATTTAAAACAAAAGGTTTTTAAAAAAAAAAAAATTTTAATTTATATTTATAATTTTTAAACGTATTGATTTATATATACATATATATATATATATATATATATATATATATATATATATATATATATATATATGTATGTATGTATGTATTTTTTTTTGTTATGTATACATAAATCAAAATAAATGAAATTTAATTTGAGAAAGAAAAAAAAAAAATTAATTATTTAATATGAAGAAGAAGAAGAAAAAAGTAGAAGACAGAAACTCATCGCAAAAACGTTTTTCTCAATATTATTATTAAACATTAACTTTAAATCAATTAAAAAAAAAAAAAATTCGAAAACGGAATCGATTAATCGATTAATCGATCGATTTATTAACTTATTGATT